GTGTACGCTCAAAATATCGGATGTTCTTGATCGTAACGCCTTATTTATAGTCCCATAATCAAATTGCTGTAAAAATGGCCAGAATGACTTCAAATTTGAACTGTAAATACTTGCAGAAAGGAAAAACGGTCTAGCGTATAAAAAAGGGGCTCCAAAGTTTATTAAAAGATGGCGTTGTAAGATGCCACATGGACATTTCAGAAATGATAGAATGATAAGTCCTCATTTTCTAACAGTCTGATCTTCAATGTCCTTGGACCACAGTCCTGGTGACTTCTGGATATTTGGTTATCTTAAAAATGCTTTAGCTGACTTGAAGGCACGGATTACTCAACGCATTCACAACGTGACCCCTGAGACACTCCGCTCTGCTGTAGAAAATGCTGTTTATCGGTTTCAACTTGTAGCGGAAAATAGTGGACACCATATTTAACATGTCTTTCGCAAGTCTAACGATAGTTAACAGGGGAGTCTTCATTGTTGCTTTTTATGTATTGTTTGACCCAAGGATAATTAAAAACCAATTTTTCTTACGACCTTGACGTGTTGGATAGGTTTTATTAAGACTGCCACAACTGTTGAATGATTTGGAAGTCATTTTTTTTCCATCAAGCAACCTAAACAATCATGCACATTGAACAGTACAGTTGGTTTCCAAAGCAACTCATGCCAAAGCTGTCGTGATTCGATTCAAAATGAGACTTGTAGTTGAATCCAATTTCGATATGCCGTTTACAGCGCCATCTATTGATACAATTTGGTATTTTTTTCCTTGTGCCATACTGTTTTCAGAAATCCAGTTCAAATTTAAATTCATTCCGACCAACGGTTCTTTTTAACAGCATTTTGAAAAAGTAGGAATTTAATTATAATCACCCTATGTATGTATATATATATATAATGTACTTACTTCATATAAATTTAAATTCATATTACGCAAGGTATAGAAATACAGCTATATGAGATGCAGGTCAACTCAGAATATCCACAGTCAAACAGTAATAAACTCTAAGGGTTAGGACTAAGACTGCAAAGTTAAACACAGTTTCAAGGCGCCGACTTTCCCCTTCATTTGGTTATATTACTCCGCTGAAATGAGAATAGAAAATAAGTTAAAAAAACTAAGAACTGAAATAAATTCGAAAAAAATTTTAACTTCGTAATCCTTTAGTGCAAAATAGTAAACATATTAAAAGTCTTAATGTAAATTCTTAAGCGGAATGCCTATATATATATATATATATATATATATATATATATATATATATATATATATATATATACTCATTGACATAAAAATTTGCGCACCAAGAAAAAGTTGTCAAATTGTAACGAAATTTTACATATGTAAGTACTACTTTAATATAAATAAGTGATTAGAAAATCAAAGGAAAAGGATCATTTAATGCAGAAAAAATTACAAATGAACGGAAGTCTTAGCATTCGGTTGGATCCTCTTTAGCGTGAATGCACGATGTGATACAAGCGGGCATAGAGGCACACAAGTTCCATGAGATATCCTGAGATATCTCTCATTCCACAGTTGCTCTAAACACGCCTCTAGTTCGACCAAACTGGTAGGCTGTCCAACTTGCTGTCCCTAATGAACCCAGATATGTTCGCTTGGGGATAAATCAGAAGATAGAGCATGCCAGAGAAGGGTGATAATGTGACGGAGATAGTCTTGTAGCATCCTTTCTGTGTGTGGCCGAAAATTGTCTTGTTGAAAAATGGCTCCTGGGAGCCCTGCCATGAGTGGCAGCACATGTGGCTGAAAAATAGCATGGACGTACCACTGGACTGCCATTGTGTCATGGATGAATATTAGGGGTGATCGTGAATCACACACAATGGCACCCCATATCATCACACCAGCTGTGGAAGCAGTGGGAGCGAAATAGAAAGTAGTAAGTTGTAAAGTGAAGGCAGGATTGAGGCGTTCATCATGAGGCCTCCACATACGAACACGATTGTCATCACTGCTGAAATTGAATCTATATTCGTCGCTGAAGATGACCTGGTTCCATTCCGTTGCGGTCCAATCCTGTCTTGCGCGACACCACTCCAAACGGAGACATCGGAGCGTGGGTGTCATTGGCAGCGCACGTAATAGATGCCGCGTTACCAGATGTCCTTCAGTCAGGCGTCTTGCGAGGGTTCGGGAAGACATAGGGACCCGTAGTGAAGGTGCTGCCTGTATCTGGACAGCGGCCAATGAGGCAGTTGGCTCTACGCGTGCGTGTCGTATGACGTGACGGTCTTCTCAACGACTGGTTTGTCAAGGAATCCTGAGGCTGGTCACCGTGTAAATGTCGTCTCTTCTGTCCATTGGTCCCAACATCTCCTCAAAGTCAAATCAGAACGGCCTACTTGACGAGCTACTCACCGAGCTGACCAGCTAAATTCCATGATCCCGATGATTAATTATTAATAGTTAGTTTCACGTGTGAATGTCATTCTAACCACACTTGCAGCCCCTCCAATTTACTACATTTCTTTCTTTCATCCGTGTGTACCCCCCTAGTGCTCCAGTGTTTGCCAAATTAAACTCGTTTAGATAGGTATTAGCTGAGATAACATTGTATGAACTAAACTGTATTTCTCAGTCTACACCATGTCCGTCAAAAAATCACCTGCATGTTACAACTGCCTCCGTTTGCAGTGGACTAGCATTCTTCGCCATTACACACGTCCTCTGAGACAAGGTAAAAGATCTCCACTATGTTTTCCTTTGCAAAAAATTTATATAAGGACGGATATTGCCTATTCTACAGATTCCTTCCCTTATATCCTATTCAGCTTGTGTCGTAGTGATATGTATTTCACATCATGGAATTATTCGACCAGATACACTTACCCAGAAAATTGCAATTTTCTGGCCACTCATTCTTGATGTTGGATTTTTAACGTAACGTAGCGTATTTTACACTACCTCTTATTCCTGACCAACGCTATAGCTACATTTTGGTTACAAAAAATGATTGAAATTATTCATAAAACACAATCTATCCAGAAATATCCACTGAACTGCAAAAGACTTCGTTCTCTTTTCGGGCTGCGGTAGCCCAGTGGTTAAGGTATCCAACCATGGCAGGCATGTCATGAGTTCGATCCCAGTACCACTAAAGACCCGCCGTGTAGGGCAGCGATGCACGTTAAATCTGTCGAGAGCTGAAACGTCCTCCCGTTGGTGTGGTGTGGTAGTTAGGAGAGGGGTGCCAGCTCAGGTGTCGTCCACGTCACTTGACCATGGTTCAAAATTACGTGGTCCGTCGCCAAAAGCCCTCGTGTAGCTGAACAGTGCGACGTTAATATTCACTCACTCACTCGTTCTCTTTTCATTTTTTCTTTAGATATCTGGGATGATAGATATCTGGGATTTAGATAGCATGTGGCTGTATTAGAATTTTGTATTTTTTTATTGATATCTTTTTAACATAAACTTAAAGATTTAAAAAATAACGAAAATTAGAAAGTATGCTTTTTTTATGAAAAATTAACTTTTTGAGGAAAATTTGGATTAATTACGAATCAAAAGGGGGAACCAGATTTGCGCTACTTAACTATTAGCAACGTATTGATGAAAACTGTAAGTAAAATGGGCACTCAGAAGCCATTAAGCAATGGAAAGTTGAATCAAATACAGATCAATAATTTTTACACAGTAAACAGAGTCCAAAGCTTTAATCGTGTTTAAAGATAAACTGATTTTTCTTTACAATATCAAAACCAGTCGAAATCTCTCTAAAAGAAAATTTTGAGGCTGATCGTTTTATTGTGAAATCAAATTTTAATTATTGAATACCAGAGGAAGTAAATGCACTCCCCTGCAATGCCTTTCTTCATAACAGTAGAAATCAAATAATTCATCAAAATTTAGTTTTAAAAAAATTTAGTTTTGGGTATACTTAGTTGAAATTATTTTCCAATCAATGAGTAATAAAGAAAAGGTTTGATTAATTGAATAATTTTCTTACTAAGAATAATGTTCAGAAACAACAAGGGGGCAATTGTTTACGAATTTCATAATTTTTATTAAAGGTCAAATGAAGAGGATGAAATAGAACGGGATAAACTCTACAACACACCAACATGATCAATTATATACCTAAAGTTACAAAGAAAGTAAAAAAAAGAAGAACAATATTTGCAAAAAGCACTGACTCTATTTTTTTTTTGGCATTATAGGTATTCCTGAAAATGGAATTACCGATAAGAAAACTTTCGTAAAGAGTAAATTAGGATTTGTAAATAAATAAAATCTATGGATCTGAAACTTGGACTTTGACTAAACCACAGACTCAACAGCTAGCCATCTTTAAGCGAAAAGTTCTTAGATATATCTTTGTTGCTGTGAAGGAGAATGGATTGTGGAGACAAGGACAATATTTTAAATTATATGAACTATTTAAGGAAGTAATGTCATTGAATCCATCAAGATTGGTCGTTTAAAGTTTGCGAGCCACATCTGCCGTATGGACCCTTCATCCTTGACATTCAGAATTTTCAATTACAAACCTATTGGAACTAGAACAGATAGTAGGCCCAAATTGAGATGGGCTGATTGTGTAGAGGATGATTCTAAAAGTTTTAAGAGTGACTAAGTGGAGAGCTGTTGCTAAGCGGAGATCGGAGTGGATGAGGATTCTTGAGAAGGCCTTGGTGCGCCCAAAACTGTTGAGTCAATAGAAGAAACAAACGAGTAACATAAAAAAAATTAAGTCAATTCCTACTTAGGTTGACAAAGAAAAATTTGATTTTAGTTATTTTTTAATCAATAACTACAATTAACATAAATATGTATATACATATAACAGAATCACAATATTAAGTGGCAAAATAGAAGGCAATTTTTATTGTAATTTTCCATTTTCCTTTCTATATATGGTGGTGAACTATTTTGTTTTTGTTTTTGCTACTATTTATTCAATAATTAAATTTAATTATTCCAATAAAATAGTATAGTAAAAAGAAATCACATTCTCAGAAATTAGGTTGGATTCTTCCAGTTGGGATTCGAACGCACGGCATTTGGATAAAAAGTCCAACACGCTACCCATTGCGCTATAGGGAGACAACGAGCGATTTTCCTTTTTATACATGGTGTTGAGCTATTATTTTGCTTGCTACTAATTATTCATTAATTAATGAATTAATATTTAAAAAAACTGTATTAACATTAAGTGTCATGCACTATAAGTTTTAAAAAATATGTTTGAACTTGAATTGATGAATATATATATAGAAAGTATTTTGTTAACGATTGAAAATTTGAACAAGTTATACAAATAAATATATATATAGAGAGAGAGTGTGTGTGGAACTAATAGTAGGAATGGAAAAAATGATGTTTTTTCTTGCTTCCTTGTTTCTCCCTCTTGTGTAATGAATGTTTATTCCACCATGTGGTTATAATTCAAGTTACACTATTCAGATGCCTGTAGAACCTGTTCTGGTTATCGTATTTTGATCAAAATTTAAATGTATACTATATGGACCATGGGGAAAAGGTTTCTGCAATAATAAAAAATGGTACAAATTTTGACCACCAGGTGGCTTTTATGGAATCCGTATAACCTCTATTTTAACTTGCAGTCATAACCAGAGAGTCATTCAGCGTGCGTTTTGCATCGTTAGTCATGCCCTTAGAAAGAAAAAGATCGAACGTTACTGGTAAAACTGTTATACCAGAACGGCAGTAACCACTTAGTTGCTCTGGCGAATATCGTCACTTAAAGGATCTGCGAAAAGGCCCCATATCGAGGATTGATTTGAGGAAGATGATTATGAAATTTGAAGAAACTGGGAATTTGGGTGTGCTGCCTAAATGAGGACGGAAACTGGTTGGGACTGAAACTGTGGAAGAAGTCACTACTGCTGTGGTTGAAAGAGTCTCCAGTTCCATCTGTTCTTCAGAAAGTGGTCGATCAGTGTCACGCGAGTTCGAGATTCCTTGGTCAACAGCTCGAAAAATTCTGCGATACATTTTGAAATGGTATTCGTATAAAATCTACGTGATGTAAACGCTGAAAACTCAAGAACAGAAAACACGTATTGAATTTGCTTCCCGATTTTTGGCGAGAATGGAAGTTGATGATGTGGGGCCTTGGAAAATTATATGGTCAGATGAGGCGCACTTTTACCTAGATGGAGTTGTGAATATTCAAAATTGCCACATGTGGGGTACTTCACCTCCAAATATCCTGCATCAAAAACCACTGCATTCTGATTACGTGACTGCTTGGAGTGGATTTACTGCTGAGTTTATCCTCAGACCTTTTTTTCTTTGAAACTCTCACTCCACAAGGTCGTAAAAGATGTTCTGACATGAGTCCATGGTACAGTGAACTTCTTAAACAACAGGCCATTCCCGCTTTGAAGGAACGACAATGTTTGCAAACCACTATCTTTATGTAAGATGGGGCAACTCATCACATTGGGCGTCAAGTCAAATCACTGCTTAGTGCTAACTTTGGCGGTAATCGGGTAATATCCAGACATTTTCCAGATACATGGCCGTCTCGTGCACCCGACTTAAATCCCTGTGATTTTTGGTTTGGAGGATTTCTTAAAGACCGTCTTTAGAGCGGAGGAATTAGGACTACCTGATTTGAAAGCTAGCATTATACGCCATGTGGCTGAAATCCCTCGTGAGTTGCTTTGAGCTGCCATTAAAAAAGCTATAATGCGTTTTCAACACGTTATTGATACCAATACAGCACATTTTGAGCATATTCTGCAGTTGAATAAATTTTAGCAATTCTAACATATCATTTAGGCACCACATTTCCTCCCGGTGGTCAACATTTGAACTATTTTTTTTTACTTCAGAAACCTTTCCCCATGGTCCATATAGAATATATTCCAAGTTTCATCAAAATTTCATAAGCATAACGGGTTCTACAGATCTCTGAATAGTGTAATTTTAATTATAAACAACTGGTACGCCTGGTCTTTTAAGCTTCTCTAGCGGGTGTGTTGGAGATAGTAAACTTAAATCAGTATAATCAACTTTCACGAAAATGTATATTTAATTGTTATCGATATTAAAATATGTCGCAATTAAATATCCACAATATTACGCTGAGGTGTATGAACAAACTTATAGCTTTCCGATTATAATTTCATCCAAGGAGCCCCTCAATTTTTCCACTAAGAGGTTTTCTCGAACTACTACCAATTATTCAATGCTCGCCCGTAGTACACCCACAAAAACAAATTTTACGCAAATTATAAAATGCATAAATAGTTTAACAATCTTTAAGATTTATATGCGGCATTTGCTTTAAACTTAGTTGTATTTCTTTGCATTAAAAGAGGATTTTATGCTTAAAGGCTTTATAAGTTAACTTACGAAACAATAAAAAAAAGCGTCTCCAAAAAAGAGCACTAAGAACCCCCCATCCTCTATTGGCTATACTAAACTGACAAACAAAGTGCATTCTGACAGTTTGCGAAAAATAAGACTGCATGTCAAAAATATTCAGAAAAGAACGCGCGCATCTGCTATAAAAGACATTCTGTTTTATTTTTTCGTTTAAATGCGAATGACACTAGAATGAAAGATGAAAAAAGAGCATTTTCCGAAAGTGACAAGTCAAAATCTGTGAAGTCTCAACTACCAAGTTTAAAGGGAATACTAACTAAAATAAATTATTTAACCATTGTATACAATAACTACACAAATACTTTTAAATCATGTTTTATTTGCAAATTCTGGGTTTTATTTTTAATAAGTTAATACAGTTTGCTACAAAATTTTACGGCATAGTATGAATGTTTTCTAGTTTTTTTTTATGACAAAATGCTAATATTTTTAGAAAAATAAAGCTCAGGTTTCAATATTTCATTTCAAAAGCCTATCTATTCCTTATTGATTGATAGTTACTAATTTTTTTTTAAAAAATGGAAATTCCGCTTTTTATCTATAAATAACTGTGCTTGCTTTGTGTATTTAACACCATGTTGGAGATACACGAGTTTTTATGGTGTGTGTGTGTGCCAAATTTAAATATAACTCCCCAACTTCCCCTCTCGTAAGGAATATTGGCGATGGATTTTGAACTATGGTCAAATGACGAGGTCGACACCTGAGTTGGTAACACCTCTCTCCTGATTTCCGCACTCCATCAACACGAAGACTTTGAACTATGACAGAGTTAACATGCATCAGACCCTCTACCAGACAATAGGCAGTTTTCAGTGACACTAAGGTTCGAACCCACGACTCGATAACGTCAACCATGAGTTTGTGACCATTACTCTGCTACCATAGCCTTAGCTTTTGATGGAATCTAGACCGAACCTATGGCTTTACAGTTATGATGCTATTTATTCTATTTAGCCAGTCTACCATGACTCTAAACTAAAAGTTAAAAAAAGATCAAATTAATCCATAACAACCAAAACATAAATATTTTTTTCAATTCAAACTATTAGTTCACTCTCTCCTTATGTATGTGTATATATATATATATATATATATATATATATATATATATATATATATATCTTGTTCACATTTTTAATTGTTGATAAAATACTTTTTATCCATCCACTGAAGTTCAAATACATTTTTTAAAGTTGTAGCGGATTACACTTGATGTTAATACAGTTTTTTCAAATATTAATTCATTAATTAAATTTTATTCTTTAATTTTAAATTTATTCTGCGTTATTTCTGATGAAGTTAGATTTATCTGCAATAGATGGCGCCAGTAGGTTTTTCTAAAGGAGTATTAATTGACTTTATTTTTTTTTTATTTTACTTGTTAAGAATTAAAATACCAAGGATAAGAGAGAGCTGATTAAAAAGTATTATAAGGGAAAACGTTATAACTCCTTTGTAAAACGCTCATTTGTCCGTTTTTTTCTTTACCATTGTTGTTTTGAATCATTTAATTGATTACACAATAAATTAATAAGTGTAGATAACTCATACATGACCAATCACCACTTATAAAAAAATCTCCCTCCTCCCAAGACTGATCTTGAACCCTAAAGTACACAATACACATACCAAGAACACACAATACAGAAGTTTAAAAGTAAAATTTATTCTTAAGAGCAATTGTAGTTTTCAATTATTATGTCCATAAGAATCGTCTGTTGATTGCAATCTGGCACTTTTGAATTATTCATCTTTTTGTATTACTTTTTTGAAAACAAACGAAATTTTGTAAGAGAGAATTGCTTCACATTTTCTATTTAATAATTCTTCGGAAATTTCAGACTAGTATTTTAAATTAAAAACATAAATCCTAGTCAAAATCATTAGAAATAAAGCTGCTTGTGGTAAATGATAAAGCTTTCCGTCTCATGTCTGTGGGTCTTTATACTGGTACTGAGAAATCAGCAAAAAATATCAGTTCTAGTCAAAAGAATATTTTTAGTTAATAAATCCATCACTTTATTTACTTGTCCAATCCTGCCATTTTTCTCTCAGTTATCTTTGTTGGGAAAAAAATTGATAATAACCCAAACGTCAGGATAAAAATATAGAAACCATTAGTTTCTTTCGATTTAGTCTTCGAAATGACAAGTTGCATCTGCTGAGCTTTCGATTTGTCTCTTGAAAGACATTCTGGAAAACAGTGTCTTTAACAACAATCCCCCTGTAATTCCTCTGAAATATTGAGAAATATGACGATACATAGATTTCACTTTAAAACACTGGGAGATTTTTGTTCTCTAATATCAGATTCCTTTTTATTCTTATAGTATTATATACCAGTCAATTTATATTCTTCAATTAGGGTTGAAATTTTTCTGTTCTTTGTAATAAAAAAACCTGGAACCTAGATTAAACCTTTCAGCATCAAGAATCTTTTTCAAAAAAAAATAATATTTTATCAAGTTTCTTTTTTGTATACAAGATTAATTTGAATTTATATCTAGTTGTCTACTACAGTGAATTAGTTTCTTAGGAAAATATCATATAAGGCTTAAAAATAGTTTATTTTTTCGTTCTTTAGAATTTGATAAAACCTTAGTGTTAAAAATTAAGACTAAAATTAAATTTTGAAGAACCTTTTTAGCAAAACCTTTTTAACTAGATTCTTTTTTATTTAACTTA